ACACACGCAATGTTCTGATTGCACCACCAATGCAGTAGTCATCCTTACCGTTCACAGAGGCACTGAGTTTTATAAATATGAGCATGATATTGTAGAATAATCATATCCAAGGACCAGTGGTGGGTTTCAAAAAATTTTGGAACCTCTTCTGTAGGCATGGCCTGCTTTCCGGGTCCACTGGTGAACTCTTCTAACTGGTTCGATAGATTTGACGAACCGGTTCTACCGAATAGGTGCGAACTGGTAAGAACCCACCTCTGGTGCTTAGGGAAGTTCCTAAGTGAAGGTGGATAGTTTGACTAAGGTCCTAGATTGGATTGTACCTGCATGGCACCTCTCTACAAGAGGATTTTAGAGTCGGGGTGGGCTGCTACGGGTTCGCACGGGTTCAGGGGAAACTCTAGCTAAGAATCTACCCAGTTCAGAGAACCCATAAATCCCATCCCTGGCTGGCTGCACCCACAGTGCCCCTCCCCTCCCACTCGTCCCAGGAGTCCCCACACGGCTTGTTTGGATGCCAGTTAAGTACAGGCCCACATGGAGGCTTGGGGAGGGTGAAAAATGGGCGTCCTGGAAGTTCCATAAGGCCGGAAATGGGCCCGTTTCCTCCAGGGGAGGCCATTTTCATCCTTGAGGAAAGTCTCCGGAGCCCAGGGAGGGTGAAAATGCCCTCCCATGGTGCAGGAGGCTGACTAGGCCACACCCACCATGGCTACGGCCACCCAGCAACTGGGAAGAGAACTCATTGCAAAAAATCTTGAAGCCTACCCCTGCTTAGAGTGTCCCCTGTTTTTAAAGGAACTTTAGGAAATGAAGTGGTAGAAGGGAAAGCTAAAATACTGCTGGAAGAAGATGAAGAATGAAGCTGATTGAACATGGGTAAGACTCTTTAAAATTTACAGCATGGCAATAAGTAGGGCAAAACCTAATTTTTCAGGTTATATTGCATTGGGTTATCGCTGGATGATGGTCCTGTTTAGATGACCCATCCCTCTTAAAAAGGGATGGTCAGAAAGCCATCTGAAAGACTTTGTGAATATTACTTGAAAAATTTACTCCAGCTGCACAGGTCTCATCAGGGGTGGGTTTNATGAGGACCCGGATTGTTGTTGGGGGCAATACGCTGACTCTGTAAACCGCTTAGAGAGGGCTGAAAGCCCTATGAAGCGGTATATAAGTCTAACTTCTATTGCTATTGCTATTGCTAAATGACATGAATCCTGGTAGGTTTTATCTTGCCAGGATAAGGGATCGTGAGAATAAACTGAATGTTACATTGCAGCTTCCCAACATAATCAACAATGGAATATTCATGTGATTGTTTCATATGGTACTGGAATTGTCTGGAATTTAAACCTTGAGGGATTTGCCAGCAGCTTTACTATTTCCTTCTTATGTCATAAAATTGAAGTAGAATTGGCACAGTGGTATCTACCCTTTACATCCATCATCTTTTTTAATATTGCACAACATTAGGTCTCTGTTTTGATAACACACTATATTTCGCAGCAACGTTTAAAATCAAAGAGAACAACATCAATGATTTCCAAGACAATGAAGTGGACTTTTTTCTTCTTTTAATTTTGCTTATCTGTAGACACTGAGCCACCAGGATCCACTATCAGGAGACATTGTTACAGCAAAGTTATGCATGATTAAAATTTATCTTGATTGCCACAGAAAAAAGTAGACTGAGAAAGATCTCCATGTAATGTTAAATAGCTCATTTGAATTCATCAAACTGCATTCTATTATCTTATGTTGGTATATCACTGACTCACTTATTATCTCATGCTTGGTATATTAACATGAGAGAAGCATGGATGGGAGATGTGGCTTGCTCTCTAAGGCCCAAATCTTTATTTGTGTGTTCTGTCCCCTGGGCCTCCTCAGTATAGTAGTTGGGGGAAAAGATTGATACAACATTGGGTTTTTATACTCAGGAAACATCAACTTATTAAGAACAATTCTCTAGGGTTCTTAACTACAGTCTTTATGTAAGGATAGCTGTAAGTAAATTATCTCAAAAGAAAAATAATACAAAGCGGTACTATAGCATGTTCTACTAAGCTATATGAAAAAGAATATCCAAATTTCCATATATAAAAAGAAGGACTGTGGAGATTAGATAGAGATTTAGATAGACACCATATTTCCCTGAAAATAAGACAGGGTCTTATTTTCTTTTGACCTCTGAAATAAGTGCTTGGCCTTATTTTTGGGGAGGTCTTATTATTTTTGNGTTGGCGCGGATAAGGGCTTCACGGTTTTGTGGTGGAACCAAAGTCGGGTACCAGATACCGTTTGGGTCAGATATGGTTCTTTGTGCTAATGCAAGATTAATGGCAAGCTTAGGAATGAAGTATGTAATGCAATAGAAGCAGTCAGAAACCTGGGAAATAATCCATAATACTGGATGTCAGAAATTTCTAGACCAGAGAATAAGAGCAAAAACACATGAGCACACTCAACACTGTTAGGTTATCGGTAGTTTTGCTGCTCCTCTTGAGTTAAACATATTTATCCCAAAATAATTCATCCTAAAAAAAGGCCTAATATAGTAGTTAAATTCTATGCCGTGAAAATCTATCATTGTAGCCAACACCCCAGAAGACAAGTTTGGGATCCAACAAAATCTTGACAGACTTGAACAATGGACCCTATCCAACAAAAGAAATTTAAGACGGAGAAAAGTAAGGTTTCCCATTAAAAAAAAACCCTTCCTGATGAAAACCATCAAAAGGTTTTCCTGGGCTGGAAAAACCAAAGGTACAAGTGTAGATTAGGTGAAACCTAGCTCAAAAACAGTAACTGTGAGAGGGACCTTAGTGGATGATTACTTAAACACATGTCAGCAGTGTTCAGCAACAGCCAAAAAAGCTAATACAATCTCTGGTTGTATAAACAGAGGCATAGAATCAAAAATATGTGAAGTATTAGTGTCACTTTATAAAGCCTTAGTAAGATTACACCTGGAATACTGCATCCAGTTTTGGTCACCACATTACAAAAAAGATGTTGAGACTTTGAAAAAAACAGTGGAAAGAAGGGACACTAAGATGATTAAAGACCTGGAGACTTAAACGTACAAGGGACTGTTGCAGGATTTGAGTTTGGCTAGTCTAGAGAAAAGAAGGACTGGGAGGACATGATAGCAGTATTCCAGTATTTGAGAGGTTGCCACAAAGAGGAGGGGGTCAATTTATTTTCCAAAGCACCAGAGGGCAGGTCAAGAAACAATGGAGGGAAACTAAACAAGGAGAGAAGCAACCGGGAATTAAGGAGACACTTCCTAATAGCGAGGACAATTAAACAGTGGAACAGCTTGCCTTCAGAAGTTGTGGGTGCTTCATCACTGGAGGTTTTGAAGAAGAGACTGTAGAGTTACTTGTCTGAAATGGTATAGAATCTCTGCTTGAGCAGGGGGCTGGACTAGAAGAACTCCAAGGTCCCTTCCAGCTCTATTCTGATTCATAACACAATCTCAATAATATTTGTAGAGTTATTTCCTCTACCCCACAGAGCATGTGTTTTTTCCATCTGGAAAAAGAGCCAAGGTGGCGCAGTGGTTAAATGCAGCACTGCAGGCTACTGCTAGATCAGCAGGTCAGCGGTTCAAATCTCACCGGCTCAGGGTT